TTACTTCATCTGCTATGAGTTCTGAGAGTTCTTTTTTATTTCAGAAAACAATTGCGCTCTGATTTCCTCTATATCTTTCTGCTGTTGCTTATTTACTATTGACGCTATTAATTCATGCATTTGAGCCGAGCTCGTGTCCTCTGCACTTGTTCTGGGTGGGCACTGGGTTTCTTCCATATGTTTCTGCATTTGATTCTTTAGTGCAGTTGTTATTAATTCAGGGATTTCTTTTTTTTTATTTCCAGTCTGAGGTCTTCTATGTCTTTCTGCAGCTGTTTCTTTATTTCAGAAGCCGTTGATTCATTGCTTTCAGCTGTGTGATTTCCAATTTGTTCTGTGTTAGTGTCCTCTGCACTTGTTACGGGTGGGCTTGGGTTCTGAGGTTGCATTTGTTCCTTCTCGTCATTTTGTGTAGCAGTGTCTTCTGACCTTTGTTGTAGATCTTTGCTGTAGTTATAACCTTCGCACGTGCTGAAGTTCAGGTGCAGTTCTACAAAGTTTGGACTTATCCTGCTGTGTCTGGCTTGGGTCTGAGTGCTGTGCTCAGCTCCTTCCCGCTGCTGCCCTTGAGGGTGAACCTGTTGTGCCCCTGTGGCAAGATGTTCTGCTACTGGACTAGCTTTGTGGATATGTCTTCGACACTCTCTGCAGGGATTGCAGCTGCAGGGTTACACCTCAGGCATGTATGCCAGGCCTGAGCTGTGCCTCGAGGGGGCAAGGTGACGTAGAGGGAAGAGGATGCTGTCCCACACACTCACTGGACCTGGGCTAGGACTGGGTCTGGGGGTTCCTGGAATGTGGCACAAATTCCTACTTGGCGGGTGGGGTGGCGGATGTACTGCGGAGTGGTGGGGGGCGGCCCAAGGGTGTGGGAGAGTGTCTGGCCCATGCTGTGCCTGGGCTGGGACTGGTCCCACCGGCGCAGGGTAGCAAGAAGCTCTCCTCACGGTCTCCGGACCTGGGCTGGGACTGGGTCTAGGGGTTCCCGGAACGCGGCAGAAATTCCTACTCGGTGGGGTGGTGTGGGGGATGTACTGCGGAGTGGTGGGGGGCAGCCCAAGGGGGTGGGAGAGGGTCCAACCCATGCTGCGCCTGGGCTGGGACTGGTCCCACCGGCGCAGGGTAGCAGGAAACTCTCCACACACTCACCGGACCTTGGCTGGGACTGGTCAGCTTTAGTTTTATGTTCCATTATTATACAGTCAGTATAAGACAATTTTAACTGGGTGTGTTGGGACATGCCAGTCATCCCAGCACTTGGGATGCTGAGGCAGGAGGATGGTCACAAGTTCAAGTCTAGCTTGGTATACAAAGTGACTTCAAGGCCATCTTGAACTGCATAATGAGACCCTGCCTCAAATAGACAAAAATTAAAACAGAAACCAAAAAATAAATTTAATAAAAAGGAAAATTGAAACAAAGTAAAATCTTTTTTAAAATTAATTTTATTGAGAAATAGCAATGAGACAGTTTCAAAACCGATTAGTAGGACAGTTTCAATAATTAATACATTGCATACTGTTGTCTTCGTAGTAGTTATTCGTAGCACAAGATGCAAACATGATATCCTGTCCAAGCACTGTTAATACAAATCTTTCTTCTCATTGAATTGTAAGAAAATAGCTATATATCTGTCCTATTTTGTATTTACAGATACAAAATGATCCTAAAATCTTAATTATAATTACAATGTTGTATATATTATAATTTTGATATCATATAAATATTTTTGTTTTATATGATTTTATTGACTTGGGTTTTCTATTTTGTGACTTTGCTCTCTATACTTAGTCTGTGTTCTGCTGTTAGGCATTTAGATTGATAAGTTTTTATGTGTGATAAATCCGTAGGAACCATGATCTTACTTTCCCTTCCCAATAATCTATTTGAGATAAATTTCTAGACATGGATTCCTGAATATTTCTGGAACGTGTCTTATTTTGATCTACTCATCTTATTCCTTAAAGTAGGTGCTCCTTGGATTGGAGTATCTGTCTTCCTTACCTGACACATTCAACCTCACATCCAAATGCTGTTGATTCTGCCTCAAAATTATTTTTCAGGGGCCAGGAAGATGGCTCAGTGGAATAAGTGCTTCCCTGGCAAGCACAAGGGCCTGAGTTCAATCCCTAGTTCTGAAAATAAAATACAAAAAAATATTTTTCAGATATATTGCTCTCCCTTCGTATTGCTGCACCCTTATCTAAGGTATTATCTTGTCTGATCAGGGCTTGCACTAGCAAGTAAAGAGGGTGCCTACCTATCACACTTGCAATGCAGTCCATTTTCAAAACCCCTAAAGGAGTCCTTTACAAATATAAGCTTGACATAAGAAAATGTAACAGTCCTGCTCGAAATCCTTTTCCTGTTTTACTCAGAATAATATTCAGACTGTTCTTATGGCTAGAAGGCTTTCCAAGATCAAGTCTCTACCACTTTTTCTGGAGTCACCTTGTACCATCTTCCTCCTTTCTATGTACCAGATCACCAGCCTCTTTTTTTTTCCCTGTTTGTTCAAACCTTGGTTTCTGATCATAGCATTTATGTAACATCTGTCCCCTCTACTAGACAAGTCCCATGAAGGCAAGAATCTGTAGTTCTCTTCACCTAGCAACTAGATACTCAGTGAGTACTTGTGGAATATGTTGCTACATTTTTTAGTTAAATAGAACCAATTGTACTCATCAGAAGTATGATTTTGTGGTGCTGGTGAGATAGTTAAATTGACTAAGGGCCTGCTTTGGCAAGCAGAGGGACAGACCAGGGTTCGATCCCTGGTCTCGCATGCCATGCTGGCCCTGACCCTGGAGCTCACTGAACTGGGGACCGAGTCTGGGCATGGTGGTACATACCTGTAATCCCAGCACTGAGGAGGCTGAAAACAGGGTCATTATGAGTCTGAACTGCCTAGTGGGACCCTGTACCAAATACATAAATGGAAAAAAAGAAAAAGTATAATTTTGTGTATGTTTGTGTGTATGAACAAAACATGGGGCCTCATGCCAGACAAATGCTCCTTACTGAGCTACTTCAGCCCTTGTTGTGACTTTTTACATTTAGATTTGTTTGGGTATATGATACAAGGTGACCAGAATTTTCTAGATGGACTCTTAATGACAACTTGTCATGAATTGCTTTAATATACTTATTCCAGGATAGAAATATTTCAGAATTCTCGTACTGTTCTGTTGTATGTTCACAGTTTGACATTAATCATAAAAGTCTTATTTGCTCGTGCTATACATAATTAAACTCATATAACTGAGCCAAAGTGGAAATGTAGTCAGTAGTTTATGGTTACCTAAAAAAAAATTAAATCAGAGTTTTTTCTCCTAAACTTTTCACAAAGGAGTATGGTAAACCAAGATTGATAGAACAATCTGAGTGCTAAAGTAGCATTGTTCTGTTTTTCAGGAAGTGGTTCTTAAAGATGGAAGAATTGAAAGACTAAAATTGGAACTTGAAAGGAAAGATGCTGAAATCCAGAAACTAAAAAATGTGATCACTCAGTGGGAGGTGTGTACCCAGTTAACTTTTATAAAGGAAAATAATTCTGCACATTTGCACATTTTCTGGTTTTATTATATAAAATGTATTTAATTTTCAGTTGATAGAAATAGCCATTCTGATTAATTTTAACTGATGGTTTAAAATCTGAGTAATAATTTTTATTGTTGTAAACTATATATAACATAAGCATTTACATGTACAGTTTGATGGCTTAAGTACTTTAACAATATTATGCATTATCATCACCATTTCCAGTTTTTTTTTTATCATTCCAAACAAAAACCCTAGTCCATTAAACAGTTCCCTAGCCCTTGTAATCTCTGATCTCCGTGCATTTGCCTGTTCTAGGTAACTTATAATAGTAGAATCATTTACTGTTCTTTTGTGTCTAGCTTATTTCACTTACCTTTTCTCTTTGCAGGGGTCATTCATATTGTAGCATATATCAGAATTTTAATCCTTTTTATAGGTCAGTATATTCCATTATATGTATATGCTACATTTTGTTTATTGGTATACAAGTATTAGAGTCCCTGGTTTCAATTCTTTGGGGGCATATACTTAATGGAATAACTGGATTATATCAATAAATATTGTGTGGAACTGGTTTGAAGTCTAGAAACTAATAAGTTTCATTTTAGTCATGTTGAATTGAAGTGGCTGTGTACTTACGCACTTACTTTCTTGGGATACAGTTGGATACAGTAGAGTCATAACATATGTGCATTGAACTTTAAGTGGTCTCCTTTTCAAGAAATCAGAAATACCAGTTGTAGGCCAGGGAGATGGCTTAGTGGAATAAGCGCTTCCTTGGCAAGTGTGAGGGCCTGAGTTCAATCCCCGGTTCCGCCCCCCTAAAAAAAACCCAAAATACCAGCTGTATATTTCATATGTGTTGTTTGTTATAAACTACTTGTTACTAGTATTTTATATATTTCTCTTTCTGTAGATACGTTTACTATTTAAATAGTACATATAGGGGGCCCAGCCCTAGCTCAGTTCTTTAAGTGGCTGCTTCCACAATGCTGGCAGCCTCAGTTTGCTGTAGTTCGATCCCCACAACACTCCAGCCATGCAAAAGTGCCCTGAAGGCATTCAAGAAGCAAAAAAATAAATAAATAAAAATAAATAGTACATATAAAACTGTACATGCTATTTTTTAAATGAGCAGTTCAGGGGATTGTCACTGGTAAGTTTGCGTGTTTGCTTCATGAGCTGATTTTAGAGTGTAAGGCTTGCATAAGAGGTGCCTGCACAAATACTGACCTAGATCTTGGACAGAAGGCTTGAGTTAGAGAGAGTTTAGTAAGATAATAGCTTAGGTTGCATATCTGACAACTGCAAATTTCATAGTACAGTTCACGTTAATAGTGAATATAGTTGTAATTGAAGGTATGTTTTCCCTTGCATATTGTTTCCTCCTTTTTCTTTTTTTTTCTCCTCTTCTCTTTCTCCTTTCTTCCCGCCCTTCCGTCTTCCTTCCTTCCTTCCTTCCTTCCTTCCTTCCTTCCTTTGAAATGCCCAATCAGGCCTTGAATTCACAGGCTCAAGTGATCCTCCACCCTCAGCCTTTCTAGTAGCTTGGACAGCAGGCATGTGCCAACACGTCCATCTCTTCCCTTATTACTTTTAAGCTTCTCAGAAGGCCCTCCTGGGAGCCACGGTGCAAGCCTATGAACCTAGCACTTTGGAGGCTGAGATAGGAAGATCACAAGTTTGAGTCCTATCTGGGTAACTTAATGAGAACTTTGCTCAAAATAAAAAATAATGAGGGCTAAGGGTATAGTTTAGTTGTAGAGTCCCCCAAGTTTGATCCCCAAGCGCACAGGGAGAAAGAAAAGTCTCACTGTCCTTATAATTACTGTGATGCTTACTTTGATTCACCATATTGATAGGTGTATTATTCCATAAACATTATTGATTTGATTCCAGCAGTTTAGTGGACAGAGTACTATATGATAAAAACTATAGTACTATATAATAAAAACTGTCTTTATAGTGATAGAACTCTGAGCTTACATCCATTAGTCCTTGGATTCAATCCCAATACCACAAAAAAATAAAATAAAAAAATTTTAATCTGGTAACCTATGCATATCTATATACATGTTGAAAGAAGAAATGACAGGTTTGTAACACTGATACATTTTCTTTATAAACGTATTTTTCTATAATAAAATATGGTTTTCTCTAATGTATTAATTTAGTCTGTCAGTGATTCAGAGATTGTTGTAAGATGTGTTGAATAAGATAATATAGGCAAAAAATTGCTTAGACTGAACATTAATGTGGAGGCACAATTCTTATTCATAAATGTGTTAACTGTCATTTAGTGTAAGAACTGTGCTACTTGGAAACTTTCAAGAAAGTTCAAAGGTATTTCAGGAAACTTCATGTAGCCCAAAATTACTGTAACAATAATTTGTTATTTGGTAAAGTTAATGGGATTAATTAAACTTTAACTGAGGAGGTTTAAGTCTACCCTATAAAATTTAATAATCTTGCCAGATGTGGCGGTACATGCCTGTAATCTCAACATTCTGGGAAGCTATGGCAGGAAAGATCACAAGTTTGAGACTAGCTTGAACAGTTTAGCATCCTAGCAAGACCCTGTCTGAAAATAAAAAGTAACAAGTATTGGAAATAGAGTGTAGTGCAAACATCCTGGGTTTACTCCCCAGTATAGAAAGAAAGAAAAGAAGTCCAAAAAAACACTAAAGTCATCTCAAAATTTAAATTAGGGTTAAAGTTAATAGTTCATTTTCTTGGTCTGAGAATGTAGATCATTGGTAGAGTGCTTGCCCAGCATACATGAGGTCCTGGATTCAGTTGCTACTAAAGTCATGTTCCCGTTCATTTTCTTAGTCTCAATAGCCATATTTGTGATGTTCAGTAGCCACATATTGGACAGTGGCAGATATGGAACAGATGGAAAGTTCTAGCATATTAATGGACAATACTGGTATAGCAAAATCAATCTTTTTATTTTACTTTAAACTATTTTATGTATGTATGCATGTATGTGTTTAGGACAGGGTCTCACTACACAGATCAGACTCATGGTGATTCTTCTGTTTTCAGCCTCCCAAGCACTAAGATTAGAGGCACAGACCACTACACTCAGTCTCAATCCCAGTTTCAATGCGTCCCAGGGGCAAGGCCGGCATGGCACACCGAGGATTGAACCCCAGCCATTGCATTCTGCCTAAGCAGGCGCTTTAGTTGGCTGAGCCATCGGGCTGGCCCTTAACTTATTTTAAATAAGGGTTTTATTTTGGGAGGAAAAGACAGAAGTCTGTTTAGGAAAACTAAGTATTATCCTCATTTTTATCCTTCTTTAATTTTTGATCACTAATATTAATTTCTATTGTATCAGATTTAAGTAGTAGATAGTTTCAGTTACATTTCCCCCATTCTGTTTCTTCCAAAGTAATTTATGCTTTTGAGCAAGCCTAGAATTCATCACTCCATAAATTGATATTAAATCATTTATGTTTTAAATTATTTACTTTTAAAAAGTTAAATCTTTTTTCTTTGACATTAGGCAAAATATAAAGAAGTAAAGGCAAGAAATGCACAGTTACTGAAAATGCTTCAAGAAGGTGAAAGTAAGTGACCATCTGTATGTTTTTCAAATTGCAGTTTTTCTATCTTTTTAAAATTATTTATTTATTTATTTATTTATTTATTTGATATCACTACACAGTCCAGACTTATAGTGATCTTCCTGTCTCAGCCGCCCCAGCACTGGGATTACAGGCATGCTCCACCATGCCCAGTTTCCATGGTTGGCTCGGCATATGGTATTGGTAGTCAAACCTGGGTCCTTGCACTTTCTAGGCAGGCTCTTACACTGCTGAGCTATCTCCCCAGCCCTCAAATTGAAGTTTATCTTATACAGTATCTGAAAATAATTTTCAAGATCTATAACTTATGAACTCAACAAAATAAAAAGGTTTCCCAGAATGATACAATTGATAGTTGCTGATATTACTATTATATGTTGCACTTCACCTGAATTTTAGATATATTTTTAACTATTCCAGTGAGATATATCATTGAAATTTCAGTTTTTATAAACTACTGGACAATACAGTCAAAATATTTGCTTAAGATTTGGCTTTTAAGTAGTGGACAATGAGCCTGTGATTACTTTAGGGTTTTCTTGGTATTTCCTTCCTATCTTCTCTCCTCTAATTGCTATTCTCACTTTTGCTGCTACTCTAAATTTTTGGCAAGAGATCACCAGCAATAAGCCAAGAAAATCAATCCAATAATTGATTAGAGGTAATAAAGTTAGTAATGTTGATGCTGTATGAAAATCTGTCAATTGGTGTGTTCCTGAATATGTACCTACTGATACTTACCTTGAAGGTTCTGTGAAAATGTTTCATTCATAACAGAGAAGGCAAAATGTATTGATTTTAATATGAAATTTATGCAAGAGAAATAATGAAGGAGATGTTGATTAAAACATGAATAAATGATCAAAAAGATGCTAGGTGTGGTGGCACCTGCCTCTAATCCCAGCACTTGGCATTCTGAGGTAAGAGGATCACCCTGAGTTCAAGGCCAGCCTGAATTGCATAGAGAGACCTTGTCTCAAAAAATAAATAAGGAATTGTGTCAGCAGTCCACACTGTAAATATAACTAGAATTTCATGTAGAACCATTACATGAAAATTCCATAACATTCCAGCACTTTACATCTAAATACAATCAATTCTGTTGTAATGCAATGTATGTTACCAAAACATCCACCTTTACAAAATCATGCAGTTAAAACTACATGATGTGAGAAAAATGGTGTTAATATAATCAATCAAAAACTATCTGTGATTCATTAAAAAAAGATGAGCAGGGTACAGAGTCACAACCAAATAAGTTCTGGTGATTTTCTTTTACCACCCATGGGTGATTATAGTAAAAGTATTGTATCATATAATTCAAAGTATCTAAAAGAGGATTTTGAATATAATTATCACATAGAAGTAATAAATGTTTAATGATGGCTGAACAGAATATTCTGAGTTAATACCCTATAGTGACAGCAGCACTTTTATTGTTTTGAATATTCTCTCCTTTGGTAACTTAAGTATAATTTTGTGTCGTCCATCTTGCTAGCTTGTTTTCAAAGTGAAGAGTTAGTTTGTTTCATGTTAGCCATGTGAAGATTTCTAAAGTTTAGGAAACATAGCCTCCAAAATAAAGGGCTCTTGCTTCCCCAAGGAAAGAAATGAATAGCTCTAAAAGACCACAGTTGTTACATACTCAGCTATGATACATAGAACTACACTCATCAGACAGTGCTTTATTGGTGGTAAAAGTCAGAGAAGAATAATTTTGTTGGCCTTTTTAGTATGCTCATTACAACAGTTTTAACAACAAAAGCATTCCATACTCTTTAAAATCTTACTTTAAGATAAATCAAGGTATTTAAAGTCTTTCTGTGTGAAATTTTTAACGTTTGGTATACTTTTCCAGGTTAAGGTGGATAGAAAAATTGCATTCAGTATATCTGTACAATTAATATTTTAGCACCACAGAAAAATTTGAAATACTAATAGAAAATGATGGTGGTGATAAGAATGATCAGAATTTACTGATGAAAAATAAGACCTACACAGGGTCAAAAGAAGTACATTTATTCATTTTGATAAGTAATTTTCTGGCTATGCTTCATTCATATTTTTGATTTATTAAAGTATTACTAAAGTATTTGAGTGACTGAAAAGATTACACTTTTGCTTTTCCTTTTTGTCAGTGAAAGATAAAGCAGAAATACTTTTGCAAGTTGATGAGTCACAAAGTATCAAGAATGAGCTAACTATACAGGTAAGGAACTGTGGAACACACATGACAGGCTTTTTTTTTCTACTTTGTATTAGGATGTGTTTGCACTACATGTTTGCATTCTTTGGGTGCATAATGCAACTGAATTGCCTTTTATCCCTTTTTTCCCTTCCATCTCCCCTTCCTCTGTCTCTTGATGCCCTTTGTATTTTAAAAAGATTACTGTGTCTTCCCACTTCTTGTCCTTTATCTTTTATTTTGCTCTCTAATTAGCTCTCATAAGAAAGAAACCATGTGATATGTAATGATTGTGCTAAGAGCATAAGGCTGGGTCCATTGGATCCATCCCTTACTTTTCTACTATAAATGTATACTTTAGCATAATAGGCAGGTGTGAGTCTCAGTATCTCTTCCTGAGAAATACCAGAAGCAATCTGTGTGTTTACTTACTTGGTATGACAATGGCAAGGTTTGTGCACATGTACAAAAGTGGCAAAACAAAATTTGTGCCCACCTTTATGCTCCGTGGAACAGTTTTTGTGTATGTTAACCCAAGCATCACAGAGGGTCCACTAGACCCACACCACTCCAGGCTTTGTTAAAAGAAATTCTTTTGATTTTTCTGATAGAAGTAGCCCAATTTAGTATAGTGGCACATGAAAAAACAGATTTGCAAGTTTTGAAGAAGTACAAAAGTAAATCATTAGGGCAAGGGTGATAGCTCAGCGGTTTAAGTGCCTGCCTAGCAAGCACAAGGTCCTGAGTTCAGTTTCCGGTACCACAAAAAAAAAAGTGAATCATCAGATTACTCATGCATACATGATGAATATGGCCCATTATAGTAGAATATATGCTGTATATAGTAGAGTATACCCACATAAAAGAGTAATGTGTGTAATGATAATGATGACTTTGATATTGCTCATCTGAGCCAAAGTTCCTGTGACAGCCAAATGGAGCAAGAGCCTACTGATACAGACAGAAAGAATGCAAACCTCCTAATTCAGATGACCAAAAACACAGCAGTGCAAGTACATATCTCACTAGTCAAAAATGTTAGAAAATGGCCATGCAACCAAATGGAAGAAAACAGTGTTAGAAACAGATAAAAAATAAGGTGAATTTATTGAACAGAATGCCAACACCACCATTCAATGTTGGAAATTGTAAGAGAGGAAATGTTACAAGATGCTGTGAAATATACAAAGGCTGAAATGCAAGTAAAATGTTCTGTATACACCAACAGCCATATTAAAAAATGTATTTATCATGACACCTCACTAGCTGAACTGAAAGCATTCATAGGTCTGCTATACTTAGTACAGATTTCTCATGGTGATTGCAGGAATGTAAAAGACTAATAGGAAAGCATTGGGTCAAAATTCGACATAAAAAAATTTATGCTCTTGTAGATATGAAGACTTATTATTCTTTCTTTATAGACATTTATCATGGAACTCAGCCATCAGGTCCTTACTCATACAGTAATAAACTGAATATTATTTTTTAAACTGAATTTATTGAACTGAATATATCTTTAACTGAAAGAAACAGATTTGTTGCTTTCATCTCCATAACTAATCAGATTGTGACATTTGACAGTTGGTTTATTGGTTTCTAATTGATGTTACATCTCCTAACAGAGCACAAGGAACTGTACTTAGGAACAAAGCAGAAATTCCAAGTGAAACATTGCAATTTCTTTCTTTCTTTCTTTCTTTTTTTTTTTTCCAAACCGGGGATTGAACTCGGGCCCTTGCACTTGCCAGGCAAGCACTTATCCTACTGAGGTATTTCTTCAGCCCCAACATTGCAATTTCAAAGCAAAATTGTATAGTAAAACGTTAGCATGCTGTATGTAAAAGAAAAGCAAACTGGTATTGCGCATGTCAATATTTCACCATCTTGGAAATGTTAATAGGGAAAGCTAGACAAAATGGAAGCCTGATATAGAAACTTTCAACAACATATCCAAAAATAGAGTAGATGATCTTGATGAGTTATGCAGCACTATGATATCACCTGAAATACAAAGCATTAGCCATTGATTTACTTGGCCATTGTTTTACTTGATCTTGAATGTATATGGTATAAATAGTTTTCCTAGCTTACAAAGAAATTAACAAGCACAAACTGTCATGGAGAAATTTTCTTAGAGGATTGAGACTGGAGCTCATAAGAGATCATTACAGCAGAGAAAAAACAAAATGGTTCTGCCCAGCAAACTATGCCAAAAATTGTAGAACATACTGGTCACCTGACAGGTGAACAGGCAGGCCCAGCATCACAAAAATCTACTACAAAAACAGGAAAACAAAAAAGATATCAATTGTGCCCTACAAGAAAGAACAGGAAAACAAAATTACATGCTGTCAGTGTAAGTGAGGTATGTGCATGTGGAATATGCAGTTGTCATGTATGAATACCTGCTTTGGATGTGACAGTTGAAACAAAGCTTATTTCTGTTGTAGATTTGTTTATATTTATACTATAGTTCACATAGGTTTTTATTTTTGGTGTTATCTTTTAGGTTTTATAGGCAAATACACAACTGATGTGAAAAGAAAAATGTTATGTCTATTCTGAGTATTCATTACATATTTGATATTTTATCAACATTTTATGTCCCTGCTAAGTGCATGTTTTACAATCTAGTAGGGAACTCCTGATAAAACAGAAGAGAGGTGACAAGACTGCAACATAGGAAAGGAAAGCTAAGTACGTTGCTGTAAGAGGCATTTGCATGGAACATGTAGCTATAATGTGTGAATGCTGCCTTGGGTGTGACGCTTGAAGCAAAGCTTATTTTTATGGTAGAGTTCTATTGGTATTTTCATTTTAATTCATGTAGGAATTTATTTCTGATGTTCTTTTAGACTTTGTAAACAAATACGCAGTTGTAAAAATGTTGATGTCTTCTAAATGCACAATACATATTAAGAATTTAAGACTTTATTTTATTGATAGTTTATATTCCTTTTAACTACACACTGTATAATAAAATAACTGCCTGACAAAACAGCAAGATCACTGACATGTCAAGTATGTCGTACAAAAAGGCCAGGAGGACTGGGGAGATGGCTCAGTGGAATAAGCGCTTCCCTGTGTTCTGCCAAAAAAAAAAAAAAAAAAGCCAGGAGAGCAAAAAACATGTGCTTTCTATATAAGCGATATATGTATATGGAACATGCTGTTGTCATGTATGCAGCTTGTCTTAGGAGATGATTGAAGTAAAGATTATTTTTCTATAGAATGCATTGGTGTTCATATGGGAATTTCTGATGTTCTTTCTTTTACTTTGTATACTAAAAATTAGTTGAGGGCTGGAGAGATGGCTCAGTGGTCTAAAGCACCTACTTAGAACAAGCTTAGCAAAGCATCAGGGACCGTGGTTCGATCCCCCAGCACCACATGCCAGCCAGCCCCGCCCCCTGGTGGGCTGAGCTGGCCACACACACACACCACTCTCTCTCTCTCTCTCTAATAAATAAATAAATAAAATTAAAAAAAATAAAAATAAAAATTAGTTGAGGTTAAAATTTTTGATATTTTTTATAAGTGGTAAATATTAAAAACTCAATTTTTGTGAATTTTTTTCTGTTAAGAAATAAACTCAAAATTGATTAATGAACTTATAAAATTAAAATTACTAATTCTTCAATAGAAATAATCTAAAGAATATTTGTCATGGTAAAATGTGACCCACATTTATGTACCTTGATACAAAGTTAGTCTTATGTCCCCTTATATCTCACTTAACATTTTAGTCTTAAGATAAATTCATTGTTCATACAACAGATGACTCAACTTTATAATTCCTTATGGCAGAGTAGTACTCTACTGGGTGCAAATACCCCATTTTTTTAATCCATTCATCTGTTGCTTGGAGTATAGGCTATTTCCAAGGTCTATCTATTGTGTATTGTGCTGCTATAAAAATGGGTATACATATATCACTGCAATATGATGTTTATAATTCTTTTGGGAAGATGCATAGGCGATTAACCAGGTCAAATAACATTTCTGTTTTTAGCTTTTTGAGGAATCTCCATATTGGTTTTCACAATGGTTGTACTAATACACATTCCCACACATAATGTAGAAGGGTTCTATTTTCACTGTATCCTCCGAAGCATTTATAATTATTTGATTTCTTGAAAATGTTGTGTTTTTTTCTGGATTTAAATTGACTCGTGGTATTTTTTCTAACTTGCAATTCTCTAATGGCCACAAATGTTTATTTTATGTATTTATTGACCATTTGAACTTCTGTTCATTTCACTTGCTCATTTTTGATTGGATATTTTATTTTTTAATATTTTATTGAGAAACAAATAGTAGTGAGACAGTTTCACAACCAATTACTAGTACATTTTCAATAGTTAATACATTGTATATTGTTGTCTTAGTGGTTATTCATTGTACAAGATACAGACCTGATATGCAGTGCCAAACACTATTAGAACAAACCTCTATTCATTGAATTAAGAGAATGGAGCTGTATATCTATCCTATTTTGAGTATACAGATACAAAAGGGTCGTTCATTTGTATCCCCATTTTTTGGTTAGTTTTGTTAGAGAAGGGAATTCCATTGTCATTTAAATACTATAGGTGCATGAATTCAGCAAAATATCCAAATATAGTCCAATAGCCCATAATAGTAGTGGGTTTTCCATAAGACTGTCAATGTCCAAGGTTATTGACTTGAGCATTTTACAGCTCATCATTTTAATATGGCTTTACTTTTTATACTTCATTTTCATACTTTTCTACTGGATGGTTAAGACCAAGAAAGAGCAAGACCTATATAACAAGACATGTAACTTTTGTATGTGATACGGTCAGTCAAATCTCCTCAGGATTTACCCTGAAACCCTGTAGCTCAGTTTTTAGATCCTTTGTCTGTGCCAGCCATATGGATGAGTCACGGCCATTGCTTGACCAGTTTACTTTCTGTGAAAGCCTGAGAGAATGTTTTCTCTCCATGTGACTTCCCTTAGGCACACTCTACATAATTGATCACATTCCTCTGTAGCACCA